CTATCATGTTTCCCTGCCTCAAGTTCATGAATTCGTGATCATTTTCTTCTCTCAACTATATTGGGAAAAACCTGTCAGAAAGGTTTCACTAAAGCAATCCCAAGTAATAGGAGTTGCATATGGACCCCTATTTCCTTCTACTGAGTATACCAGATATGAGAAACATCCTTCAACTAGTATGATGTCAACTCAACCCTATTATTCCCTATTACTTGCATTACCTCAAAGAACTTCTTGATATCATCCAAGATATTCTGAGGATCTTCATTAGTTTCTGATCCAAAGAACTCAATCATATTCATCCTAACAAACTCACAAACTCTTACTACGGCTGAGCCATCGTTTGTATTCACAGGAACATGAACTCAATTGTTCTGGTTGGTCATACTATGAGCCAACATCTGTATGTCATTCCTGAACTCAGCATTGGGGACTTTTTAATCTGGGACTGGAGGAGCTGCGTTTGCATTTGTAGCATTCGCATTCCGGTCATTAGCTCTACATGGAGGCATGATCTGAAATGTAAAATGTCAAGTTAGAATGGAATTAGATCATACCTTACGCAAGATAAGAGTAACAAGAAAATGAAGTTTTACTAAAACACTTTGTAGCCTCCCTCTCATTAGATTTGGTGCACTTCACACCCATGAAAAGGACTCTACTTAGTGCAGCTTTTCAGACATCCTATGACTCTTAAACCTAGTACTTTGATACCAAGTATTTTAATGCCCTGAGCTACCTCCGAGATGCGGACATGGAACCTAGGACCACAAGTGATCCCAAGCTAACCCTGCTGGCATGCTCATAAGAACCTAAAGATAACTAAATCAATGCGGAAGCTAACTTATAATTTAAAATTAAAATATGGGGAATACCCATATTCTATAACTGAGATATTTGAAAAACTGAAGAGTTTATTACAAGGATGTTACTAACTCAATACTAAGCTGAAACTAACTATGTCTGAAATAAGCCTCTAAAGTAACTAAAAATGTTGGGACAGTCCCCAACTAAGTCTAGCAAAAATTAAAAATAAAGGACTAATTACTAAAAAGAAAATCATGACTATTTTCCTCGGAGAATGAAGACTCAGCACTGAATCTGTTGAACTGAAGATCGAAAATTGATCCAAGCATGTAGGATAAAGTAAAGCTGAAATAAAACATAATTGAACAAGCACAAAAGCAAGTATAATATTCTAACACGATATACTAAAATCTGAGTGAACTGCATGCAATGACCAAATTTATAACATGTTGATACTGAATAATAGCTGAATTATAAATACGGTCAATGCATTAGAGTCTGACTCAACTATGGGAGCTACTAATAAATGATAATAAAACCACATGAGATAAATGTGGATCTCGATGTATACGCCCCATAGAGAGGACCCAAAATACCTTGCCAGAGGTATAAAGGCATGCTAGCGTGATCACTACCTACGTGCCTAGTAGTTCTAGGACTGAATGGGTACGTTGAACCTTAGTCCAACTCGATATTATGCTACTCCCAATGAATAAAGCTATTAACACATATGATTAAATTTCTGTAAATACTGGATATCTTAAAATTGAATATGCAAACTGAGGATGCGACAATTAATCAAGTAATTATTCATTTATAACTGAGGCATGTATATCTGAAGTATATGAAATATTTGACCTAGCATGTGTATTTCAAGAACTAAATAAATACATAGCTAGGGTTTTAAAATTCATTAGATAAACTGAATAATTACATGGATATCTAATTTGGAACATATAACTAATTAATTCATGAAGTTCTATAAACCCTACGTCTAATCACTATTTGGGAATCAAGAATCTAACTGAAAACAAGGGACCCAATGGGTGAAACACCCCACTAGTAAAATTCCACATACCTAGTGATGAAAATTCATGGAGAAATATTTAGATTTCAGGAGTGGAACTGTTGGATCCTTGTTGCATTCTTGAACTAGGGTTCTTGACCTTTTTCTCCTTTCTTGCTTCAAATTTTCTAAGTTTTGATTTATGATTTTGAGTTATATAAGTTCTTGTTATGTTTCTAGGCTTAAACTGACTAAAATCTGATAGTTTAGGGTCAAAAGGACGTAACTTAGGGTCTAAAGAAGTAGGAAAATATCAAAAGAGCCCTGAGTTAATTGCTTCCTGGCCAAACAAGGACCTGGACTGACGGACCGCCGTTTAATCGACGGTCCGTCGTTTGGGTACGTAGGTTTGGTCTGTTTGATAGTCCTTTACTTAAATGGGCATAACCGTTTACTTAGAGGTCTTTGTTTTAGCAAGGTCGATGGCTATGGAAATCTAATTCAATTATCTATCTTTTGGTATGTCATGGGACACTTAATTCATTTTGTGCTAAGAGTATGACCATTTGAAGTTGAGCCAACTGCATTTTCACCCTAACTATCTGCTAATTTCCACATACGGTCATACCTATGATCTGTTAGTCCATCTACGAACCGTGCTGGTCAATCGTGGTTCTTGTCAAAGAGTGGGTAAATGGGTTTTGATCGACGGACACAGACTGCAGACCGTAGGTCCGTTAGTCGTTCGACACTTAGTTAAATTTTCTAGGCTGAGTTTTTTGGGGCTTCACACTCAAACGACGGATGCACAATACGTGCCATAGGTCAGACTATGGTCCATCGATGAAACCGTCGGTTGCACCTGCAGATTAGTGAAAAGCTGATTTCTTGTTTGTTATAGCTACGGGGTGTTACAAAGCCATACTTAGTACATGTGTTTGTACTAATTCCAAGCTTTAATCTATATCTGAAGTAATTCATAGGTCAAGGTGATTTTGGGAGAAAAGCTTGGATTATAGGATCTTTCAAGCAAGTTTGAAGTATGTCCTTATTTGACTCGAGGGAATAGATGTCTTGATTTCTTAATTCAAAGTATTGTAATATACTTAGTAGTACTATATTTCTATTTTTTGTATGGGCCGTGTCCCAAGTGTATTTTGAGTCTATGGTTTGATGACATAAGACTTAATATTTCCTATGCTTTTTATATGAAATAGATTTTTAAAGACTATTCGATGTTGTGAAAAGTTTTAGTTCTGCACTACTTTTCATATATGTATATGCGATATGAACAATACGGAAGGGCTTGTACAAGACCTTCGAGAGGTCAAGTACGCTGTGTTGAACTCCAAGAGTGCCTAGCTTCTAGGTTGTACTCTCGGGATGTGACATGATCACACGAATGATGGTTGTGATGAAGTAATTTCTCATTCCAAACCTAAAGAGCTCTGATTATTTTTATAAAAGGGTTAGTCCCTAAGGATTATATTGTAAATTAATGCTTAAGGATGGCTTAAAGACATTTCAAAAAGGGGCTTTAGCTTAGCACCAAGTGAACTAGATATGAGAGGTGTCCCTTTCCAATGAGAGAAGGTAGGTTCACAATGGTTATTATGAAATGGATGGAAACTACAATAAAAATGTGCATAAAGAAGGTTTCTAATACTAATATCCTAGTTTCTTAACTATGTACCACATAGGAACACTAGCTAGTTGATCCACCTAGAATGTTATGTTCATGTTTGGTTCTACCTTGGCAAGTAGAGCACCTTCTTTTGGTGTAGGGTTTCTATGATACTGAATTTCATGTTTAGCTCACATGGTCTATTGTTGGTTAAGGCTATTTTTCCTGAAAGTAAAAAGAATGAATGAACGTAATAAAGATGGACACTAACTGGGGTGACTTAAGGGATTCTGCTTAGTGTAGGTAAGGGTATGGGACTTTACCTATGCATTGAACAAGTGAACCTTGAGAGGAGTCCTAGAAGGATGTTCTTATGCACTTATGTTATGAATGAAATGCATATGTTGACTTTACATGATGTTGATCTTATATGATGTTGACTTCATTTGATGAACATGATATTGGTGCAAGTTGCTATGTATGATGATGAAATTCATGATATGATGTTATGTGAAGTGTAGTCATTGCTTATAGTTTCTTTACTAGTTGACTTAGTTTATGTGGGGTTATAGGGCTTCACATGAGCATTGCACTAGTTGACTTGGATTGGGATTGTAGGTAAGGTTATTATATGCTTTGATGATATGAACTCTAAGATATGCGATGTTGATATGGCTTTATGATGATGTTGGTCTTGTGTTGGATATGAACATGTGCTAATGTTATTGTGATAATTGGCTTGTATATGCTCTTATATGTGAATAAAGGATTTCCAAGTGACTTAGCATGGTTTTGAATAAAATGTCCCTTTATGCGTGATTTCAATGGTTTTACTTGCATATGTTTCCAAACATAGTACATGTGGTTTTTACTAACCCATATTCTTTATATATCTATAACTATGTTGGTTTGGGCCATTGACGGTTTCAAGGACACTTTGAAGGAAGACTTGATTTTTTCCCAAGTTATTGGTGAGTCCTCAAGTCCGAGGATGATGCCACTTTTCTATTATAGCTATGATATTGATTATGTCTAAGAGAATTGTTCATTCCTTATTTTTTGAGACTTTGTTGTAAGCCTATATGTGGTATATTGTAATAGTGTAAGGACTATGACCAAACCTTATACATTTATGATAGATGGAGACACTATAAGAAAAGTACTGATTACCTGGGGATTTTCCTAGGGATAACATAGTAAAATCCGCATGTAACTTGATGACCTGCAAATTTTCTTGCAAATTGAAAAATGATGGAAAAACCTTCGTAGGTAATTCTCACCTGTGGATTTATACTGGCCCTAGGTAATTTACCTGGGTATTTAAAATCCTCAGGTAACACCTGCGGATTTATATGCAATAAATACAAAAATTCTTACGAATATTTTACCAAAATTTCTTGGGGATTTTCATGGAAATATTTCACAAGCAAATTGCTACGAAGATTCCTAAGTAAATCTGTAGGTGTTTTGAGATAAAATTTTGTGAAACAAATGGAAATTTCCTATAGATATATATGAAAATATTTCTCAAGATAATTCCTATGAAAATAAACCCACAAGAACTAACAAAAAATATAACTCATGTTATATCACTTTCATTCAACAAAAAACTTTATTCATAATTTATAATTTGTATGAAAAGAAACCCGCAGGATCAATAGTTTATGATTCAAATGGACAAAAACAAAAACAACTAAAATTTGAATCCTAAATAGCACTATCAACTATCTCAATCCTCACTTTCATTCACGCTATCAGAGTCATGGGCAGAACCACTATCATTCACGCTATCAGAGTCATCACCACTTTCATCCTCATAAGCTTGATTGTCTTCTTGAGATTATTGCTCATTTGAAGATGATGTGTTGTATATGTGCTTCTTAAATAAGTCCAATTCCCTCCTCATCCTCTTATTTTGTGACTCTCTTTCTGCAATTGAGCATATTAGTCAACAATGGAAGCATTTACCTGAGCTTTAATCATCTCATCAATTTCCCTTGATAAAGATGATGTTGATTGTTTTGGAAGATGCCTTTACAGATCGACCCAGCGAGCCAAGACCTTTAACTCTTCTTTTTTTCCTTCCACCAACAGATTGAACCCAGATTATCATTTGTGTTAATTGAGAAGGTTGACCAGCTATGTTAGTTTCTCCTTCAGCAGCTGATGCACTTTGAGAAGCTAATAATTCTTGTTTCTTTGTTTCAAACGTATTCTGCATCAAAACAAGTTATATGAGACAATTTTATATCTAGATATCACTATTAACTAGAAACCATCAAAAGCAATATACTTCTCAACATTGATATTAATAAATAATATATGACTACATAAGATCTTAGGATGACAACTCGCTATTGATCATGTCATTTGTTTGACTTGGTTTTATCTCTGGATAAGGGGCATGGTTATGTTTAACAACTGCTAATGTGTGCCAGAGAATTGGCAGGAGCTAGTCATTTATTTAGTTGTGTGTCTCTTGACAAAGTTATCAAATATTCCTTTATATACACAAAGTTTATGTAACGAAGGATTACTAGCAAGCAGCACCAAAATGTTGGACCATGATTCCAGCTTGATACACCACACAGATTCAAGGACCACAAAAAAACCTGTAAAGACGTTCAAACCTGGCCAGAATTATGAATGAATAAAGTTGATACAACACACAGATTCCGGGAACAACCTTAGTCACGTCTCACTTTGTGAGGTTTCATTGAATATATCATAAGGGATTCTAAGCTGAATTCAGCATTTTGTAAAATCTTGTAGCACCCAAATTCAGAGACTCTTCTACATTGAGTTCAACTAGATGTTTAAATTCTATACCAGCAGCTCATAAACCATATCTTCATATCTATTTACGTGTTCAACATTGTTTTCTTGAATTTTACATTGACTGCTTGAGGCCATGTCAAAGTCACATCCTTGATTACTACCTGAAGCACCTGAATAGATATGTTTATTCAAATTAACTGAAGAAACCTCCTCTCCATGTGACGTCCAATACTAATATCCTACTGTGAACCCTTTTGAAAAACATGCAAATTAACTTCATCGGGTGTCAGGAACTTCATATTTTTACAACGCTTACAAGAACACCTTATAACTTTTCAAGACAAATACTTCTGTTGACAACAAGAAAATTTAACAAACTCATCCATGCCACTTATAAATTCATCAGTATACCCTGCTCGATCGGGATTAAGTCTACTTACCATCAATTTTATATGCTAGGGAATTTTCATTCTCTAAACCAAAAAATAGATTTATTTTTAAACACATAAATAAGAAAAATTAGAGAATGTATGGGTCAACAATGGTTGGCGAAATTTGCTGATCAGCCACATGAACCTAAAAATATACACATAGCAATACAAGAACAAGGACAAAAGAAAGAAACACAACAATTTCCTGAAAAAAATGAACTACCTGAGAAATAGAACTTAAATATAACGTACATGCTCCCAATTTGAATACTATTATATAGCTGGATTGACTCAATCGGTGAATCTGCATCCAGGATTTTTATTGCTATTATGTGTAAACTATGATCTTGCTTTTCTAGGATGTATATTAATAAAAGTTATATGCGAATTAAAAGTATAAAATTATTCTTTCAGCCTCAACGCTCATGGTATAGATCATCCTAATGGTAACTGGAAAAGAATGAATCCTCCGCAACTGTTTAGAAAGTTCTTTTGACTAAGGATATGAGGTTTTTGTTACTTTCTAAATTTTTAAGTTTGATGAAATATTTCATTCTTATATCATCTATTGTTTCCAAGTTGCTTGGGATTGAGATGTAGTTGTATCTAACATGTTAACAAGCTGGTACTGAATTTTGTAGGAACACAACAATAACAATTATGTCTCACTGTCTAACAAGTTGGGATCAGTTATATGAATCCTTACTGCTTTTTTCAAGCTCAACTCTTGTCAACATTAGTTTTGTGAAAACACAATTCTGCAAAATTGTACTGATAGTCCCTCGTCTAGCACTAACAAATGTTGTTAACTTACTCAGAACTCTACATTTTACTTGAAATTGCTCTGTTGCTTACAAAACTTACATACTCATTATCATTTAGTGAAATCTTACGATTCCCTATAAATGAGATATCGCACTTCATGTGCAATGGCATGTTTTATGCTTAGGTTTATTTGCATCCATAATCGCTCTATTTGGGGGATTTTTTTCTAGTGGTTTCAATAGAACCTTTATGATCAAGGTCTGTACAACTTCTAATGGAAACTGAATATTATCTGTGTACATTTTAGTTACTCATTTCCTTCATTTACGTGGAATCATTCAGGATTTTGGCTATTACATTCCTCGACATCGCGGTTTCACGGATTTGTGAAAACTAGTTTATCTTGAATTTTCCTTTTGTGTTTTCCTCTTAATAGACTTATAATAACTCACTATATACATCTCTAAGAAAACTATAATAACACTTTAATCTACTTATAAAATGGTAAAACTATTTTTGGAATAACTTAATAAAGTAGTTGCTAGAGCAGATTACTACTATAAGACTTGGAATGGCATCAAATATCCTATATCAAATTTTTTTCCTTTCCCCTGCATATCAACTTTTTGTACCTCAGAGATAACCTAAAATGCTTTTAGTTACACCAAGTCACTCATCATAAACAAGTGACTAATTCCTAGATATTCAGTATTGAAGCAACAATAATCCCTTACATGTAAACTGCTACTATGAATTACAGATGAAATTACATGAATTCATACAAGATTTAAAGCAAAAAAACTCACATCAACATATTAAAACAGAAACTCACATCAACTCAGAAAAAATTGGAGAGGAAAACAAATCGAAGAGTCTAGAACATACACCATTTTGTAGGATATTAAACTTCAACAAGCTATAGAGAAGAAACATAATAAGGACATACACTCATCTTCTTCAATATTTGTGGCAAGTTTACCCACCAACCACTACCTGTATGTATGGGCAAGGGTTGTAGCAATCTGTTTGACGATTACTCAAGGTACGCACAGAAGATCAAAACACCGCCATAAACAAAAAATCTAAGAACATCACAAGCACATAATAAGAAATATAGCTAATGAAAAAGAAAAAATGAGTTAAACTTAAGATCGCAACAATTATTGACCTCATAGAGCTTGAGATTTACAAAAAAAAATCACTCAATCTTCATTCGAACTGATTCTATAAATGAAAATTTGCACATTAACCTCACATATCTTGAAATATGCATATTAACCTCAATTTTTTGGTAGATTGGCAAGCAAACCTTCTCGATTATACTCCTTTACTTTGAAAATATCTGCTTGGAGAGAGGCGTGAGGTTCACTTGGAGAGCTTTGAGCTTGGAGCTTTGAATGATCTTCGAGCTTAATCTACACTTAATTCTTCTATTGATTTCATCTCTGCTTCTACATGTGAGTTTTGGAGTGAAGGAAAATGGGTCTGGGTATGAGCTTAAGAGATGAGGAAAACGTGAAAGAAGTCGATGAAATCCCAATTACTTTCCTAAAGTTAAAATGTTTTTAATTGGTCTTACTATCCAAAAAATATATATTTTTTAATAATTTTGTTATGAAACTATAAAAATTTAGACTTCTTATTTCTCTTGAAGTATATTCAGGATTTATCGATCTTCTTTACAATGAAGGAAAACCTTTATTTATAGGGAAAACTTAACTTTGTCCCCAAGTAGGATTGCTAACCCATATCCTAAAAGGACTCACATAATTAGACATTCACTATAATACAAATTGTTTATACCACTCCCCCTTGAATGTCGGTAGATTATGTGCCTCGTTAAAATCTTATAAGATAAAATCCAGTGGAGAAAAGATCTAGAGAAGGAAAAAGAGTACACATATCTAATAATACGCATTATGGATGCCTCATTAAAAACCTTACAAGGAAAACCCAATGGGACAAAACCTTGTGAGGAAAAAAGAGTACTTCACGTATTAACTCCCTCATGAGAACATCAATCAAGAGATTTGGATCTTCGTTTTCCAAGCTTGAACATCATCTTCTTGAAAGTTGTAGTCGGTAGAGACTTGGTGGATAAATCAATTATAGTATTACTTGAAAAAACATGTTGCATGTTGATATCACCATTCTTGGGAGCTCACGAGTGTAGAAAAACCTTGATGAAATATGATTTCTTCTATCTGCTTTTGTGAAATTTCCCTTCAGGATCAAAGATTTCTGCAAGTTCCTTACTACTACTTCTTTAAGCAAATAATCTATTGCCTTTTGAAAACTCTTTAAGAGTTTCAATTATAGTTATCAACTTGCATAACAATACTTGTATATGTTCTATGCATTTTGAATCTATTTAATTCTTATGAGGATGATAAACAAGTTTTCTAAAACCTTGTATATGCTAGATTTCGAACTCATTGGATAGTTTTCATATTAGTTTTGTCAAGTGACAACATTCAATATCAGATGTATGACATCTTCAAGTGTCTAGATTGCGAGTCAAATAAGTTTTACGCTTACCAAGGTGAACCATTCTACTTTTCACTTGATAACTATTTCTACACCACCATGCTTTAATAGACGTAGAATTTATATCCTCATAATCCTTTACAAAATTGCACGTTATTGTATCAAAGATATCGTCAACGATATATCATTCTGCATTGATTCACAATACGATATAACTTATTGAGATCTCATCACTTTATTATATTTAGGTTGCTACCCCTCTGATGAGGTTCCATAAAGTGTTGTCGTAGGCTCTCCAAGAGCACATTGTCTCCTTGGTATGATCATTTTGATTCTTTGATCCTCCTCCCTTTTTCAAGAATTATTTTATTAGAATTGACCGGTCTATCATGCTTCATGCATGTCGTAGACTTTATCCTTAAGGTACATTTAATAGGAGTATTTACTACTCTTCTGTTGCTTCTAGTCTCCCCCTTATGTTATACAAACTTACATATATCTCAATCATTTGGAGAATCTATCTTTGTGCATCGTTGTATATTCATTGATTATATACTACATACCAAAATAAACAGATGAAAAATATTTGGTCCCTAACCATAAATTAATTGAAAGAAAATCTAATCATAATTTATTAGTTTGACACGTACAATTAATTTTGTATGCAATATCGGATTTCATATAAACATAAGAAGCTTTATTTTCATAAACAATGATTTTATTATTTGAGACATTTAGTGTCACATCATCTTGAGTATTTATCAATATTATCAAGATAAATTATCTTGATTATATATTCTGAAATTGTGCTCTTAACTCAATTATTTTTGCACAAACAATTTTGTGAATGTCAAACTACATGTTGACAACAAACGCACATGTGATTATCTCATAGATGCATCTTTTTATCATATCAAATAATAGGTGAACGGGCCCATATTCACCTTTTATACTTTTCAGAATTTAGGGATTTAGTCCCAACTTTAATTGATCCAATCAACTTTATCACGAGAACAAGCAACGTAAAGAATTCTTGAAGAATCTTTTAGTTTTTCAATGTTTGTTCATTACTCAGTATGCACATCTTTGGGATGACCAAATTATTCATGCCAACTAATAAAATTATTAGTACTCGTAAACTCCACGTTTACTACATCATGTACCTTTTGCTTTGGTAAATTTCTGATTACTATTATATGAGTAAATTTCAATATTGTTAATCCAAGAGTAATTTTCAGATTTATTTCTTATCAATTACTTCACCCTTTAGGTGAGTCATGATCCTATCATTTAATGAACTAATCTGAAGAAAATTGTGCATATAACATAATAATTTGTGCCAAAATTTTTTGCAAACATCAAGTTGCAAGATAATAATAAGCACACATGAGCCATATAGAAGAAACATTTATTAGGACCATTAAATATCTAAACAATCTACTAGTTGGATGACTAGGTCCACAAATATTTGTATACGTTCCTAGAACACAGAGAATTCAATCTCAACTTTCGTTTATGATGGTCTCAGAATTAGCTTGTCTTGGTAACATTTATTACAAGAAAATTAACCATTTAAAAGAATTTTTAGGTTCTTCAATGGATTTTTTGTTTTAATTTCCATAATTCGTCTAAACATTATAGACTAATGATGTCTCAGACAATTATGCCAAATTATGAAAGTATTGAAATTAAAAAACTTCTCATTTATCATAGAATGTGCCTCAATTTAACTAATTCATGTCCAATACAAGCCTGATGATAAAGCATGAAACGTTTCTAGTATACATGTCTTATTAGAGACATTCTTGATGATACCACATTGTTAACCAAAGGTCGCAATCGTTCTCATTCCTAGCATGGTGGATTACACCTCATTCCCATTAGAGAATGGATCTATATTTTTAGCATTTATCAAAAGTAATCATTCTTCATGAATGAAACACAAATATGTGAGCGTATCAAATAATATAGCTTTAGTACCTCATTCCATATCTATGTGCATTATTCAATCACTTGTCTTCTTTTAGACATATTATGCACTACAACCACATTCACTTTACGTAATTGAGCAAATTCAGTAAATTTCATACTTCTCATCAAAACATATTAGTTTTTCTTTAGACATTATTATATCATCAATATGGTGGATTGAGACTCACATTCAATGTCTTATCCATATAGAAGTGTCTTAGGTCATAAATCGATGGATCTTGAACCCAATATCTTATCATCATGGTGTATCAGAACTTTAACCCAATGTCTTACCCTATTTTGTGATTGGACATAAATTCATTGTCTTATTCTTTTGGTGAGATTAAACTTAAATCTTTCGTCTTACCCATAATGAGGCTCAACCTCAAGCCTTAAAAATAATTGTAATTTTATTACTTTTGATGATCATTAATATGATCGTACATTATAATTATACACAAAATTGAGATTATTGATTTATTATAATCAACATTAGTAGTTAATAAATATAGCTTAATAGATCATACACCTCAAATAAAGGTTGAAAACATTCCTTTCACTAAATTGTGCTTATTTAATTATTAAAATAAATTAAGGAATTCTCTTCCCAGTTGATTAAAATTAAACGTATAGAAAGTCGACAAGTCTCTTTAAGTACTTAATTTAGATGGTACCCCTAGATATATTACATAAATAATTATAACATAAAGATAAATCATACCTTGAAGATATAAGAACCTTATTGCTTAACTTATGCAAGATCTCTTTTACACTTTTCCCGTCTTCTTCATCATTCATTAAGAATAGAATAATCGTGCTGATAACGTGTCATGAAACTATATAAATTTAGAAGAAGAAGAAAGTAGGGAGAAGAGAAAAGACTTCCTTTTTCTCTTGAAGTATATTCGGGATTCATCAATCTTCATTGCAATGAAGGAAAACCCTTTATTTATAGGAAAAACTTAACTTTGTCCCCAAGTAGGATTCCTAACCATATCCTAAAAGGACTCCACATAATTAGACATTCACTATATACAAATTGTTTATAACAGATTTTTAATTGTTTTAATTAATTGGTCTTATTATCCTAAAAAAATAATAAGTAAATGAAAAAGAAATCAACCATCTAATAGAATAAAATGCATAGATAAATCCCCAATTATTTTCCAATGTAATAAAATATCTTGGTAAATCCCTAAAAATAATTTTCAGACAATATGGAGTTTTTCTATAAATTAAAAAGGAATTTTTTTGGTCCATGTACCTGGGGATTTACCTAGAGATATTATTCCTGCAAATAAATTTCCTAGATAATTTTGTGGGAATGAATTTAGTGCAAAATGACACTAACTTTAGCTACGAAATTTGTTGAAAATATACGGTTCACAAGTATTATATTATAAAATTGAGAAATTTAAGAATTTTCAAAAAAATTCTGCAAGTATTATGTGCGGGAATGAGAAGTTTATGTGAGAAAACTAGGTAAATTTCATAAATGAGAAGTCTATGTAAACTTCATATATATATATATATATATATATACACATATGGATTGGGTGTTGAATCTCTATCCTTTGTCTAACCGGGTTTGTTGATACTTCACTGTCTTGTTGACTATGAGTCCGTCTGTACGCAATGAATTGCTCGAGAAGTCTAAGTATAAGTTTTAAATTTTTCGCATTTTTCTCTACCTATGATATGCAATGATGTATAATAAGGCTAGTCTAAATCCTCTTCAAGGACGAAGACGCCAGTTACGTTTAGGAGGTGCTCTTCAATCATGACAGAATCATTCTTTCATTGACCCGTTGATCGCTTGACACACATGGTATGAAATACGTGCTATAATGCTTACACCTCATATTAGTGTATGTGTCTCATTCTTTTGATTATTCATCATCGTACAGACCTTCGTCTAAACACCTCCAAATGTTTAACCCTAGATTTTCTCATAGATAAATTCTTTTCTGACTCATAAAACAAATCATAATATGGTTGTGAAACTCATCTCTTAACGTTCCTCGACGTAGAAAGCCAATCTCTCGACTTGTTCGATACACTTTATTTCTTACAAAATATCACATGCATATTATGTTTGAATATA